AAGTCATTGCCGCTTGTTTTTTTTCCAAAAAAAAAGGATTTCTTAATCCCATAGAAGTATAGTATTCATTTACTCCCTTGGATAAAATCAAATGTAGGAGTCACCTTAGGTCCTCAAATTTTGGAAAATTATCCTCTTCAACACATAGAACTAATGTCGATTAAAAATAAAAATAAAAAAAACTCCAAATTGCCCTCTATATGCCCTTAGAAAAAGCGATGTCTCAAGATAGATTTGAGGCTATTCAATTTTTGAAAGATGATATCTAAGTATTAACAAACTCAAAATTTCAAGTTTTGTTATTTGAAAATAATCATCTAGTGACCTCTTATGTGATTTTCAAATTTTAATATAAAAATTTGGGAAAATCTCTTATGTGATTTTCGAATTTTAATATAAAAATTTGGGAAAATTATGGAAACCCTCATTGACTCTAATTTAGGCATCCTCCCCCTTAATACTTCTAAACCATACCCTTACCCACAAAAATACTACTTCTTTTTTATTTGCTACCAACCCCCCAAGTAAAAAAAAAAGTACATTTTAAACGATGAAAATACCGCTTTCGATACATATTTTCATTGTATTTCTGTCACCAATTGTCACACACATGAGTTTTTTTAACCCGGTTTGGCACAAATTGCATCGGACTGGCTTCTAGCACAAAAATACATCGGTCTGACACGAAAATGTGTCGGTCCGATATAAAAAATGTGCCAGTCCGGCACAGTTTCTATATTAAAGTTGCATCGGACTGGCTTAGAGAGCAAATGTGGAAAATGTGACAAAAAAAAAAAACAAAAAAAAAAAAAGATGATATTTTGGTCTAAAAAATGTAAGTTTTGTTCTTAGAGGGTGGTTGCAAAAAAAAAAAAACTATTGAGGTTAATAGTGTAGTATCAAAAGTTTTAGGTGGGAGGATGCTTAGAAATTACGAACTGAGCTTATCCATAATTTTCCCTAAAAAATTCCTTCCTAGTTGGTATTCTGACCCAGGGAGTAGATGTGCAGTATGCTCCTAAGGGAGCATAATGTACACACTCTTTTTTCTTTTTTTTTTCTTTTTTTTGTTTTTTTGACAAATTTCTGTTATCTATTTTTTCCCTTACTTTTTTTTTTTTTCTTTTTATCAATATGCAAAGTAAACATAGTTATTACTTGGGGAGGTTTGGCTTTTGACTAAAAAGCCCTCACCCAACCAGTCACGACAAAATGGTTGATTTGTTTGGCCTGCCTCCGCTTTTTTCTTTTTTTAGTTGTAGGATTGGTTGTCTTACTAGATGTATAGATGGAAAAATAAAGGTAGTATTTTTTTGTCGTTTAAAAAATAGATATATATAAGTAAGTTAAATACTCGATGAAGTTTCTATAAGGCCTAGGCTTTATGAAAAATAAAATAATACCTCACTTAAATTTTTCTTCCGGAAAGCACTTTCGGCAACAAAAATCCCCATGATGGCTCTAAAATCAATTTCTTATACCGACAATGAAATTTGAAATTTAAAAAATAGTACATGCCTTGCAGATCCATGAACACTTAATTTTAGGGTGAAATAGACGGTCTAAATAATTTGTTACAATATGTACTATTTTTAGTACTTAAAATCCCTTTTTATTACAACCATAATGTTCAAGCCGAGATGATGGATGTAAAGATTTTCCAATACTTGAATTATAATTTTCGATGAGTTATGAGGTGAGGCTTTACTTATTTTGATAGGGCTGTAGCCCAATCAAATCATTTTCCAATACCAAATAATAATAGTTTTTTTTTCCATTTCCAAAATGTCTAAATCTCTAAATAGGTCATATGTATAAGTAGTATTTTGTTTATCGATTAAAAAAAGGGTGTGGTTTGTATAGAGCCAAGGCTGTAAACAATCAAAGTAAAGCGTGCCTTCAAATAGTGTCAAGAAATGTGGTTTCAATACTGGAAATCTTTGTGATAGCGTTAAAGTATATTATCATCTTTAATTATAAAATTTAAAGATTCAAATAGTGTAGATCGAGCCGATCTATGAAAACTTAAAATTTTTGAAAATTGACAGTCCAAAAATGTGTTACAAAATAATAATAAAAAATAAAATAATATATATATATATATGTGACAGAGAGAGAGTTAAATACTAGATGACCAAAGACCAAAAGAATAGTTTCTTTTTCCCTTTCGAAATGTCTAAATCTCTAAATAAGTCATAAGTGTTCTATTTTATTTTTTCTAAAAGGCCACGCTAATAGCAACAGTCTAGGGTAAGTTTTTTAAATAATTTTGCCTCCCCCACATAAGGATTAATGTATTAAGAGAAAAAAAAGTATTTTATGGGTGTCGAAAAAGTTGTCCAATTAGTCTTGGGCAGTTTTAGTTAAGAAACCCAAACATGCTACGATTTTTAGAAATATTGAAAGCATCTCATAATTTTTCTTGAAATATGTATGTGTGTGTTTCCTCTAAGAAAAAACCTACCTAAAATAATAATTTAGATAATGCTCCCAGGCAATCGGAACTGATGGTTAAAAATTGCTATTTAAATTTTATCTTTTCTAAATTAAATTAATATGAATTTTCACACATCATAAAAAAAATGTATTTTCAAATATTTAAAATGACCAAGTTGCCTCCATTATATTCTAGGGGTAGTTTGGTTATTTTAAGTTTTAGGAAATACTTTTTCATATTTTTTGGGCATCCTATTATGTAGTACATATGTTCAAAATTTCATCTTGACCCATTTATATAAAAAAAAATATTAAAAAAATTTAAATAATAAAATGTATTTTCAACCATCTGACCCGATGTTTAATTTCATTTTTGCAAGACCTTGTTGGGGTATATTTCCCAAATCCAACTACAAATTCTTTAACACCCCATTATCAGTAACTGGCCAATTGGATGTTGGTTAGGGCTTCAGGTTTATTTTTTGATATTTGGATTGGATCCCTCCTACTTACTTGTTGTCTTCTATCTTTCACAACAAAGGGAAGTAGATAAACAAGTTATTAAAAGTGCACGGTGCTCTTTTGTACCTTTTCGGAGCATATCTTACTACATGATTTTTGAAATAGGGATTTAATATATCTACTAAGCCATATCAAAAATGTAATTATAATATAATTATTGTGTGATCCCATTATATTTGTCAATTATAGATTTGTTGTAATATATAGATTTGTTGTAATATATCTACTAAGCCATATCAAAAATGTAATTATAATAAGATTATTGTGTGACAATTTGATGTTATTATATTTGTCGATTATAGATCTGTCATATTTTGCATAGAGTAAATATGAAGCTTTAAATGGTAGAAAATCATTAAAGAGACTTGAAACATCTTAATTAACCCTAGAGTGTAGATTTTATTTTTTCTTTCACTACGCTACCTTCTCAAAATAATATATCAAAAAAGCCTACATTGCCCATGTTCAAGCATGAGTTTTGCCATAACTCAAATCAAATAAGTGGCGAGTAAAATTACTAAAATATCTTTGCTTGTTCAGTGTTCTCAACTATGATAATAATAATATAAATATTTTTATTATATTATTTAAAGAAGTATCTAAGTGAAATGAAAATAAAACAATAAAGAAAAAAGATATTATACTATGAGACCATTTATTTTGATACAAGAAGGTTATGATTTTTCTTAGCCACTGGATGTGAAATCTGATAAGTAAAAATGTATCACAGCTTCCAAGAAACTTTGTGTTGAACTTTGTGCTCAAGTAGTGACACATCACCACCATCCGATTTCATAGCCAATTGTTGACAATGAGTGTGACCTTCTTGTATCAAAAATAATAAATTTTCTCATCATATATATTTCCTAAAAAAAAATTGTAGATACCTCCTTAATCCTACTTTCTAGACATGGCATGCCCCAATACTTTGTAAATCACATTATTAACTCTAAAATTGTTTGTTTTTATAACCTCTCCCAAGTCAAAAAATATGGTCTTGTATGATAAATGCCCCTGATATAATGCACATTTTTCTCAAGACAATGTATCAGTTTGGCACAATACATACAGGACCAGCTTCATTTTGTAAAATAAAGCCAGTCCAACATAATGTGTATCTGGTTGGCATATTCTTTATCAAGCTGACACGAGTGTTTAAAATAATGTTGGTCCAATACACATTGTACCAGACAGGTATAATATTACAAAAAATGATAGTAGATAAGAGAAAGTGTATTGTAAAGGTATTTCATCCTAAAAGGAATTACTTTTTGACTTGAGGAATAATTCCAAAAATAAACTCTTTTGTAGTTAGTAGCATGATTTACAAAGCATTGATAGGGAGGGCATTTACCTAGAATATAGAGTCAAGGGGATCTCTATAATTTTTTTTAAAAAATAATATTAATGTTAATTAGGATCTTAATACGATCCCTCCAAAAACGTGCTCTCCTATAAAAAATTGGTGGGCTCGAACATCCCTTGTTTGGTAATTTTGCAAGGGGTATGATTTCTATACGGTTGCAACTTTAAACAATCCAATTAAAGCGCACTTTTAAATTTTATTATAACATGAAATTTTGATAAAAAATTTCTTAAGATTATTTCAAAATTTATTTTCATATCTAATTATAAAATTTTAAACTAAAAAAATAGTTAAAACCAAACATATCTATAAATATATGAAATCGTGAAAATAGACGGTCTAGATAATGTGTTACAAAATACACTACGTCTGAAACTCAAATTTTTTTTTTTTGATATTTATATCAAGATGATCAATTAGAGAGTTTTTTAACATTAAAACAACTTCTTTAGATGGAGTTTTGAGGTGCATCCTCGATTCTACATTTCAAGGTTGCAGCCTTATATAAACATTTTCCTTTTGTAAGAAGAGTTGAGTACAATTCCTTTTTGTCCAAAATGTTCAACCACAAGGGGAATGGACTTGCTGAGTCAGCATATTACTCGGTCCCACATAAAACATCCATTTATGGAGACCGCGTGAAGAGAGAGAAAGTTAGAGAGAGAGAGAAGCGAGCAGCAACATTAGCCTGGATTCCGGCAACTCAATCCCCTCCGTCACCCACCAACCCTAAAATAAAAAATACGCCCTAACTCTCTCTCCCTCTCTCTAAACCATGTCTTAATCTCTATACTAACTACATGGGAGGGATCTCTCCTCTCTCTCTCTCCAATAACCTACTTTCTATCTCTCTGCAATAACCTACTCTCTCTCTCTCCCCTAAATGCAAATTACATATTACTTGCTACACAAATTTGGTATCTCTGGTTGTTTTTGCCTTTTGAATGCCTCTTACCCTGGCTAAATGTGGTGCATTTCTTCCTCTAATAAATATCGTACTCTCTCTCTCTCTCTCTCTTCAATAATCCCCTGAATTAGCGGATCAGTAGAATGGGGCCATTCCGGTTTGGCCTCGCTAGCCCTTGAGAAGGAAGACTAGATCTGGTTGGGATAGAAATTTCCCCAGAAGAAACCACTCTTCATTCTCCTTTTTATCGGATTTTTAGTCATGGCGCCACCCAATTACGAGTTTCAGGAATGGTGGAATAGGGAGAGAGAGAGGACGCATGGTGTAGTCGTCAAAATGGAGAAGCCTAACTGGTCCATGGTCGAAATCCAGAGCCCCAGAGACCAGGATTTCGAGAAAGGGAAAGGGAGAAACGCTAAGCAGCTAAGATGGGTTTGCTTTCTCAGAGCCCAACAAGCAGCTGGTTTTATTTCGTGGCTCTTTAATGGCTCCTATAATTTGATATCAGCTGCAAAGAGAAGAATCCAGTCTAGAAGGCCTGACAAAACGGCCCAAAATTCAAAGCTTTATAGGGTAATCAAAGGGTTCCTGGTTTTTGCTGTAGCAATGCTGGTTTTTGAGATCGGGGCTTATTACAAGGGGTGGCATTTTAACCCACCTTCTGCAAAAGCTGAGGTTTTGGGGTTCTTGGAATGGATTTATTCTTCTTGGGTTTTCATTAGGGAGGATTATATTGCCCCTCCCCTACAATTTTTGACTAATGTTTGTATAGTTTTGTTCCTGGTTCAATCGGTGGATCGAATTGTGCTAGTTCTGGGGTGCTTTTGGATCAGGTTCAGGAAGCTCAAGCCTGCTCCTCTAATGGAGGTCAGAGAATTGGAGGAGGGAGTTGATGGGGATTACCCCATGGTGCTTATTCAGATCCCCATGTGCAATGAGAGAGAGGTATGATGGTCTG